CAAAAAGAAACTTCTCAGCTGTCGTGCACAGCAGAGCACCTTTACCAAAGCAGCCGTTTTGCCGTCAAATGCTCAACTGGCGTCATATAAAGTAGCATATAGAGTTGCTAAGTGTAAAAAGCCACACACCATCGCTGAGGAATTAATTCTGCCTGCCGCTGTTGATATGGTCTCTACTATGATTGATGAAGCAACAGCCAGTAAATTAAAAACTATCCCTCTGTCAAACAATACTATTGCAAGACGTATTTAGGACATGTCAAAAGACATCGAGGAGCAGCTTAATGACAAGATACGGGACAACCGTTTTGCCCTGCAGGTGGATGAAGCGACCGACAGCAACAAGGACTGCTTATTAATAACTTATGTCAGATTCATCGACGCTGATGATCTGAGGGAGGATTTGCTTTTCTGTAAACGTGTGATGAATAGAGCCACTGCAGCTGAGCTGTTTAATATCATCGACACTTACCGATCTGACATGGAACGACTGTGTGGGCATCTGCACGGATGGGGCCCAGGCAATGGCAGGGAAACGGGGAGGGCTGCAGGCGCTCATCAAGCGCGTCTCCCCCGACGTGCATTGTACACACTGCATGAGCCAGAGAGAAGCGCTCGCTTCTAAACAGCTGAGTCCTGAGCTTAACGATGTGATGACAGATATTATTGTCACGGTAAACTTCATAAAGACTAGACCCGTCAAAGCCCGAATTTTTTCTGCACTGTGCGAGGAGATGGGCTCTGGTCACACTGCTTTATTGTTCCACAGTGAGTCACAGTGGCTGTCACGTGGAAAGGTTTTGTCCAGGGTGTTTGAACTGCGGGATGAGATCAGAATCTTCTTGGAGGAAGAGGGGAATGAACTTGCCCTAAAAACAACAACTTTCTCATGAAACTTGCATATCTCAGTGACATATTTCAAAAACTCAATGAACTAAATCTGCAGATGCAGGGCACCAAGACACACCTCCCGCAGATAAAATTACATCTTTCACAAGAAAACTGGAGATGTGGGAGCATATTTTTGTTTAAGTTTAATCTTCACACGTTGATGCTGCCATTCTTTTTCTGTTTTGGCAAATCTCAGATAAATTCTAAAAATACAGATATTTGACTAAAAAAGGATGTTATTGTCAGTATTTTTTGTATACACACACACACACACACACAAAATGTATTCAGTAACATCTGGGGGGCCCCCGAAGCCATTTTTATGTTCAAGGGGGGGCCTGGCAAAAAAAGTTTGGGAACCACTGATTTAGAGCATATAATTATTTAAAAACTTACAGATTGAAGGCACTGTCTCAATGGTTTAATCTTTAATCTTGCAAACATTTTATGATTCAGACTGAGTTAAATATGACTTTCCTGACACTGTAAAACATTACCACTTGATCTCTTTTTTAAGATCTTCAGCTTTTATATCTGAAAATTTGATATTACAGTATATTTTTTTCATGGATTTATAGGTCTGTACATATAACCTGTGGTTTGTTCAAACTGCTTAAGCAAATAAAGGTTACAGTCAGCAAGCGTTGTGTGATCAAGTGAGATCTGACTTTGATCTGTTTCTTCACAAATGTTGAAAATGAAGTTACATTTGATTTAAATAAGCACTGACAATTATTTAATTAGTAAATTACACTGACCTGCAGATCCCTTTTCTCCCCAACAAGAAAAGCAGCCTCCACAATTGAAGAGAAGATCAAATGGACGTTCAACCTCCGTGTAAATGTGTTAACGTATGATAATCATTGGCAAATCTTTGTCTCTTTTGAAGGCTGCCACGATGACGTGATTCTTTGATTGCATTGTGAAATGATTTAACAGTTACAACAAAACAAGGTTTCATGAGAACGAGCTCTTGTTATATTAGCCGTCAGAGCTTAACAGTGCCACTTTCTTTCACAGTAAACTGATTTTAAGGTATTCTGATCTTTTCCCTTTCCAGCTACCACAGTCATTTTACTTTGGGGACTCAGTGAATTTAAAATAATAAATGATTTTATTGAACTATAAAAATACTGAAAATAAACTATCTTCTGTGCAGTATTTGGAGTTCCAGCACAGAAATGTAATGTATTACACACTGAAACAACACTGTGATTTCTGCAGATACTCCGTTCATATTTCTTTTTGCAACCCAACAATAAAAATCAGTCCTATCATATTTTCCTCATCTAATCATTTTAACATTTCAGAGAAAAAGATTTTCACAAAAATACATGCATCATTTTCTTAGTAAAAAAAACAATCTATACATCCATCATATATGGATGTATATATCTGTAATGATTAAACTAGACGTGGCAAGTCCTTCAACTTCAATCCTGATCCTCACTAGTCTGACGGTATGTGTATTACAAAGAGTAATCTTTATTAGCTCCCTATAGGTGTTTTCAGACGGCAGGAATTTTAAATTGTTCTAAAAACTGTTGGAACCCTCCTCCTTTTTTATTGATTCCACATCACAGGAACTAGGACCTATTTTAGTTCCTAGAACTCCGTTTAGAGGAACCTTTTTAGCCCCTGCTTAAGAGTAGGTACCATGACGGTGCCAATTCAGACAGAAAAAAAGTCCTCATGGTTTTATGTTGTCAGGAAACTCCTCTTCAAAAAGTCCACAGAACTGTTTGGTCTGAAAACACCTTATGTTTTCCTCTTGGTGTAATAAGAGGAAATAATTGCATGTATTTACTGAATTATTTTATCATTTGTGTATTTCAGCAATAGTTCTTGTGTCTACATTTAAAATCCTAATATGAAAAGAGGAGATATCTCAGAGAGAAGTCATGACTGAAATGTATTTATTTATTTTTCATTACATGCAAACATTTTCTTCAAATGTAAGAAAATCAGTTTTTATAAATATAAATGAACCCTCTTATAAAACCAAGTCAGCTTGAAAACTCCAGAAAATGTGATTTATTTAACTCTGAATCAAACAAAAAGACAACGACATTTGAATTAATCAGTAAAACATTTTTTTAAAAACATGTATTAAAAGTCAAACCATGAATCCATAGAGGACATTTAAAAAAACACTGATATCACACAAGATAAATCATAAAGATGAATCACAACCTTTATTAATGACCAAAATGAACTGTGGTCACATCTGGTTGAGAATGATTCATGTTTGATTTCTTCAGCTAATAACGCTGCAGATGAAGAAAATATACTTTGAAACTATTGAATGTTAGTGCTGGAAGATGGATTATTTCTTACGTCCCCTCCCTCTGGCGACTGTGTTTCACGTTTCTTTCTTTTCCTCCTCTTCTCTCTTCTCTCTTTCTCTGAACCTCTTCTCTCTGTCTCTGAACCTCTTCTCTCTTTCTCTGAAACTCTTCTGTCTTCCTCTTTGTTTCTTTGAGGTACTTTTCAATTTGTTCCTTATCATTCTCTAGTTTCTCTTTCCTCAAAGTCATTTTGTTAATCAAAGCATCTGTTGACTCCAGCTGTTTCTCTGTGTTCTTTAACAGTTCATCATGTATTGTCTTTCTCTTCTCCAGATCCTCTTTAGTCTTTTCACGTTTCTTCTTTTTGTCTCTTTCTAAAGCATTAGTGTCATCCAGCATCTCCTGGTTCTTCTCTATCTGTACCATGTCTTCCTGCTGTAGTGAGATGAGTTTCTCTCTCTGTATCTTCAGATCCTTCTTCTGCTCCGTCAGTGCTGTAATCGCCTGTTGTACAAGTCCCAGTTTTTTCTCTTTCTTCTCTAACTTCTCATCTTGTTTAGCCTTTATATTATCTAAAATCTTCATTATCTTATCTTGTTTAGCCTTTACATTATCTAATAACTTCATCTTCTCATTTCCAGTCATGGGTTGATGTACGTCTCCTTCTTTCTTCAACAGAAGCTGATGTTCATGTCCGAACATTTTTCTTTCTCCCAGGTCAGTCTCACCCTCATGGTGCTTCTTGTTTTCTACATTAAAAGAAAAGGCATGTGTTTAGTTCAGACCTGTGTTACTATGTTGTCTTCCCAATTGGGAGAGGGGTTTCAGGGTGGGAAAGTAGAGTTCACAGAAATCTGATATTGACATATTGTTGGTAAGTGACCACGGTTCAGGTAAGGTGATATACCTGCACTGGATGTTGTAAAGGCTGAGATCACATTGGATGACTTGTTTTGTGTCTAAGAAATTAACTCTCAACAGAACTGATGTAAAATAACTTTTTGAAAGAAGTTCAATAAAGATGACACTTACTCTTGTTTTGTCCACATTTCCTCACAACAAGAACAACTGCAACGATTGACACGAAGCACACAATGACACAGATGGTGATGGGGACGATAGAACTAGACTGGACCATGAAGAGCTCATCTGAAATGATAAAACACGAGCCAAATTACTTAACAGAGCTTAACATGAACTGTCTGTAACTGAAAAATTAACGACATCAATGACTGATTAATAATGTATCTACCTGAAACATGTATCTGTGTCTCTCTGGTCTGGTTGATGTTGTTCTGTGTGACTCTACAGGTGAACATGTTGTTGTGTCTCCTCTCCACAGTCACTCTGCTGCTGACAGTATAGAGATCATTGGGACCTCTGATGATCTCTGTAGATCCAGCAGAGAGGAGGTTTCCCTCACCGTCCAGCCACAACACCTCAGGCTCTGGATACCAGCCTTCAGATTTACATTGAAGGACCACTCCACTGCTGGCTTTGGAAATGCTGACGGTCAGTGAGGACGCAGAACCTAATTGATCGAATTAAAAAGATGTTTAGTCAACAGATTAATACAAATAAAGTTTTATTAATTTGATTTCAGCTCATCTCAGACACTGATCCCATATTACTGTGAACACACATTCTTATAAATATTTAGCTGCTGTTCTTTAACTCCTCATTGTCCATGTACCCATGAAATATCTGAATCACTTGTACGTGTTTTATTGGTGGTATTTTTGCTCTGGTGTTTTTACAGGTGTTAAAATAGATGTTGCACACTCACACACATACTGTATACATTCATATATGTTTGTTGTCATTAAAACTCTAACCCAGGGGCCCCGTGAAAAAATATCACATTGGGTCCCTACCACGGTCCAAACTAACCCAGAAAATGTCTATGACCATCACACAAATGACCCATAAAAACTTTGAACAACTAGGCTTTGTTTTACACCCTGAAAATGGAAGATAAATCATCACTGTAATATTTCCTCATAGCTTAAAAATAATTTAAACTTTGTAATATTTGCACCTTTCAGACATTTGAAACATTTCCAGCAGCATTATTGTAATTATGAACTTGTTATAGTTAATGTTCTAAAGGCTTTTATTGTCTAAAGTGATCTTATTGGTTAGCTTACTGAATTAAAAATTCTACTGGCATTAATGATAAAATGTAAACATACAATAAATCTGAATTAGATTCTACCATCACTTTAAAATGAGGCTATAATAGGCTAGTTCTTCTCTGTTCTGACTTCACTTTAATTCTTCTTAAACTGCATTATCATTTGTCTCACCTGACGTTCAAAATATTGTTTTTTGGGCAAAAGTAGCGGACTCAGTTTTGCTGCTAGTGCGACAACATTGGTATCATATGAATTGACAGTTTACAAATAATCTGTTGATATCAAATGTGTTACTGTAGCTAAATATCGCTCCAAAGTGGACTCTTTTTTACAGCGTAATATTTTCACAAAATAGGGTCATATAAAATTGTATCTGTGAAGGGGATTCATATGATGAATTTATGCATAAAATACAAATTGAACAAAACGATATTCTTGGCTTAATCTGGTTTAATCTGCAGGTGGCCACATCTCTCACTCCTGACTCGAATGACTGCTGATAGATCAATTCAGTCAAGAGGATCGAGAGGTGCGGGGCGGACTAAACCATTCTACTCAATCAGAAGGGGGGAGAGGGGCCTTTGAGACAGACTCTACATTTTTTCCAGAAAGGAATTCTGAATGTTTGTTCATTTATTCAGACAATTTCAGTTATCTTATTGCAGTTATAACTTAGAGAAAAAAAGCTAAATAAGAAATAGATTTTTATTTCAGGCCCATGAAGGCCCCCCTCCCCACTGGGTAGTCCCACTTAATAGAGTGGCTTAGATAATTACCCTTAGGTTCCAGTGCTTTTATATAAGGGTAGTTCAATATAGACCCTAAAGGCCCTGACACACCAAGGAGATTGTTGGCTGTCGGTCCTAGTTGGACCGTTGGTGAGAGTTCGTCGCCCTAGTTTTTGCAGTGTGTCAGTCGCTACCCATTGGCCCCCGTTGGCCTTTTAGCATAACGTACGTGGTGGTTGGACGTCAGCTGTAATCTTTGCAGTTGTAGTGGAACTTTTTGGCCAGACATCATCACCACTTGTTCTTTGCCGTCTGCTTGGTGTTTCAGGGCTTTTACACTTGCCTCCCTCAGACGCTTCAGCGTGAAGTCAACAGTTTAGTGAACCAAGAATCCATTGTCATCTGAGGATAGTTTAGCCTCTGGGGCTGATAGCCAGTACTTCTGGACTTCCAGTGTAGCTTGAAGAGATTTTGGATAACGGATAACCTCTAAGTGAACTATTGTTGACTAGCAACTTTAGATGTGATAATGTGGTTTGAGTTTACGTCTACTGGTACTCTTTAAACAAATATCTGCCTACAATGCACATTGTTAAAAACAGAAAGGTATATAATGCTGTACTGTTGTCAGGGGGGTTAGGGTTAGGTGTTTATTTGACAAGGACAGATGCAGTAGGCTATACATAGAGAGTTAAACAACACGGCCTTCATTATGAAATACATATCAAATATACAGAGAGCATGCTTACAGACAGAGCTAACTATGAGTTAACTGTGCAAACGGTGTATGGATTGTTTGCCTGCAAACAACTAAAGCTTGCTCACACATGATTGGTCAGTTCTATAGTGAGTAATTGGGACCAGAACTCCTCCAGCACCCACCCAAGTCTGGTCCCCCAGCAACAGGTCCTGCAATCATGTGTTTAAATAGTGACTTATGTGCATGAATAAATGTAAAGCTGAGCAATTGATGACTTACCAAAGCCGAGCTCGACAGTAGAGTGAATATCAGACAAGGAAAGGAAGCATCTGTATTTCCCCTTATCAGACAGTCTCACCTTGGAGAGTTTCAGGGAAACATTTCCATTCTTCAGTTCATTGATAAACAGTGATGTTCTTCCCTTATAGGATGGATGTTGAGCATGTACTAGATCTTGACCAGAATACCACACATGTACAAATCTTGGTTTCATGTCTGGTCTCATCCACTCCACAATCTTAGAAGCAACATCCATGGCAGGTCTTAGGTGACATGGCAAAATGATGTCATCACCAACAATTGCCAGTATTGGTTGAGGTGAACCGATTACTTCAAGGAGACCTGGGAAGAGATTTTGTCTAGTGAATTGAGGGTCCCAGATTGGCTTCACTGGTCACATGGGGAAGTCCTGTTTGAGTGTCATGACGTGTGTGCTCAGTAACAGTTTGGTACGTGCATCTCTTTGTACAACAGACTTTGTACTTTGATAACTTCAGACACTAACAACATGAATAGTTGAGCCACATTTTAAAAAGTCATTCATACATGACAGCAGTAAAACTAAAGACCCCCTGCTGACTGCAGTCAAATGGTTTCTGTACTTGCTTCATATGTGATAGTCAACATTAAGATAGAACAAACTAGCCCTTGCCTTAACTCTTAACCTTTTACTTGAAAACTAACAAACAAAAAATGACAATGTGTGAATACGTTACCTTTACATCTTTGTGGTAGCAGAAGCAGGAAAGTGATGAAGAAAGTCATGTGACACATCCTGGAGACCTGGAAATGAAATCAGAAAATTTCAAGATAAAATATGTTTGAAGGAAATAGACAAGGGCTGTGTAGATATTTTGACTTCAGGCTAACTTATAATGCTTCAACAATTTGAATGCAAAATACAGGTGACCTTTTTCTAGGCCTGCTAGTAGTTTATCATTTCTGTTTTCATTCAGTCTATGGGCTGTAGAAGTGGATGCTGGCTAAGTAACCTCTTATCATTGATTTGTGGCCCACCATGTGTTGTCGTCGTGTCTGACATTTTAGCTATCGCTATTTTGTTTTTGGTACCACATGCAACCATATTTAAACAAGATGGCAGGACTGGAGGGGAGGGACTGGTTATCAAACAGAAACAAGATAATAGCAAGCTATTAACATGCTGTACTTGTAATATTGATCTGGATGCTTATTGTGGCAAGCAAGAAACAGGCACAGTGCTTTTCAGTAAAGCTGTACTAAACTTTTTTATGGTGCCATGGTAACAACCTGCCAAAGGTAGCCACGCCCAAAAACAAACCCTGTTTTATCATCCGTTTAAGAACAAAAAAACTGATCATTTAGAACATATAATTATTTAAAAACTTACAGATTGAAGGCACTGTCTCAATGGTTTAATCTTTCTGCTCTCAGAGGCAAACATTTTATAACACCGACTGAGTTAAATATGACTTTCCTGACACTGTAAAACATTAACACTTGATCTCTTTTTTAAGATCTTCAGCTTTTATATCTGAAAATTTTACATTACAGTATATTTTTTTCATGGATTTATAGGTCTGTACATATAACCTGTGGTTATAAAAATATAAAGCACATCTGTAATGTTCCAAAAATGACAAAAACTCATTTTTGAAAAAATTGAAGTTACTGCCTTTGGCCTTTGTAGGGCAGTATGATCCACTTGTTCACCATTACAAAGACTGACAGCGACCTCATTTTGTGCATTCAAAGCAAATGATCAGAGCTACTAAATCGACTGCTGTTTAAAAGAAGGTTTCTGAGGAAGATAGCAGTTTGTACAAAAAGAACCATCTATGAATTTAAAGATGATGTTAAAAAATATGTCTTAAATAATCCATACAAACACTTTTTTTCTTGTACAAATTCGACGTACCTGCTGTTTGTGTCCGAGTTTCTTCTCTTGAGGTGTTAAAGCGAGAGAAGGCTGCAGGGTCAAAGTCCAGAATGAATCAACCAAGCGTACTCTAACCTACACCCATTTAATTTTTATTGCCTTTTATTGTTCTTTTAGAACAGGTTTCAGTGAAATATTTTTCATTCAGCCTTGAAATATATATGAAACATTGGAATATGACAATATCCCAGAACACAATTTTTTTTTAAATAAAGTTTGGAATTAAAACACTGCAGACAAAATAAAACACAAAACAAAAGTAAATGCATCAAGCCAATCAAACATTTTCATTAATTTAGTAGAAAGCTAACAGCTTCTTAAAACTTTTAAGTTATCTGTCTTTGTTTGTCTTTTGTGTGTGTTCAAGGTTACATGATAAACGATTCTTCTATACACACTTGAAAATGGATATAAATGTAAATGTAATGATTAACAGTTAAACATTCTTTCTGGTGTAAATTTACAGTTTTACAGTCTTAAGCATCATTGCTGCTGTGCACAAGTTGTGTTTGAAACGGGTTACAAAAGCTCGTCTCTGATTGACGTCTGTCCCAAAGAAACACAGGATCATTTCATAGACTGAAAGGAAATAAAAGCCTGAGCTTTTAATAGAAGTTTTACAGTAAGTAAATACAGGCAACATTTTAAAAAACAATGACGTCAAAAAATACATTTCAATCAAAGAAGCATTTACATGAAGTAACGGAGTGTTGTCGTATGTCCACAGCTGTTTTACTCAAACAGGAGGATGTTAGCAGAGGAATGATTGTTCAGTTCAGAGATCTTTATTTTCCTCCTCTTCTCTCTGAATCTGTTTCTGAACCTCTTCTCTCTGTCTCTGAATCTCTTCTCTCTGAAGCTCTTCTCTCTTTCTCTCTGTTTCTTTGAGGTACTTTTCAATTTTTTCCTTATCATTCTCTAGTTTCCCTTTCCTCTCAGTCATTGTGTTAATCAAAGCATCTGTTGACTCCAGCTGTTTCTCTATGTTCTTTAACAGTTCAACATGTACTGTCTTTCTGTTCTCCAGATACTCTATGGTATTTTCAAGATTCTTCTTTCTGTCTTTAAATGAAGCAAAAGTGTCATCCAGCATCTTCAGGTTCTTCTCTATCAGTATCATGTCTCCCTGCTGTAGTGAGATGAGTTTCTCTCTCTGTGTCTTCAGATCCTTCTTCTGCTCCGTCAGTGCTGTAATCACCTGTTGTACATGTTCCAGTTCTTTCTCTTTCATCTTTAACTTCTCATCTTGTTTAGCCTTTATATTATCTAATAACTTCATCTTCTCATTTCCAGTCATGGGTTGATCTCTGTCTCCTTCTTTCTCCAACAGAAGCTGATGTTCAATGTCATGTCCAAACATTTTTCTTTCTCCCAGGTCAGTCTCACCCTCATGGTGCTTCTTGCTTTCTACATTATAAGAAAAGACCTGTGTTTAGTTCAGACCTGTGTTACTATGTTGTGTTCCTTTTGGGAGAGGGGTTTCAGGGTCAGAAAGTAGGGTTCACAGAAATCTGATCTTGACATATTGTTGGTAAGTGGCCACGGTACAGGTAAGGTGATATACCTGCACTGGATGTTGTAAAGGCTGAGATCACATTGGATGACTTGTTTTGAGTCTAAGAAATTAACCCTCAACAGAACTGATGTAAAATAACTTTTTGAAAGAAGTTAAATGAAGATGACACTTACTCTTGTTTTGTCCACATTTCCTCACAACAAGAACAACTGCAATGATCGACACGAAGCACACAATGATACAGATGGTGATGCGGACGATAGAACTAGACTGGACCATGAAGAGCTCATCTGAAATGATAAAACACGAGCCAAATTACTTAACAGAGCTTAACATTAACTGTCTGTAACTGAAGAAGTGACAACATCAATGACTGATTAATAATTTATCTACCTGAAACATGTATGAGTGTCTCTCTGGTCTGGTTGATGTTGTTCTGTGTGACTCTACAGGTGAACATGTTGTTGTGTCTCCTCTCCACAGTCACTCTGCTGCTGACAGTATAGAGATCATTGGGACCTCTGATGATCTCTGTAGATCCAGCAGAGAGGAGGTTTCCCTCACCGTCCAGCCACAACACCTCAGGCTCTGGATACCAGCCTTCAGATTTACATTGAAGATCCACTCCACTGCTGGCTTTGGAAATGCTCATGGTCGGTAAAGATACAGAACCTAATCAAGAAGAAAAATGTCCAAAAAGTAGTCAGGTTAAACATTTGAAACAAGAAAGAAAATCCCAGCTTGTGGCCAACTAAAGTATGACATCTTGTCAGTCCCCAAGTAAGCCCTTTGTGCTTTTCTTGTTGTCATAAATTCCAAAATCTTCATCGTCAGGCTGAGGTTGTCAAAAGCCCATGTTGTCTCATTTAGATGTCACATAATGGATGCTGCAGGGAGCTGGGTAGAGTGTATGATAAGAGGATGTTTCCAGCAATGCAAACACAATAGAAGAAAACAATATTCTGCAACTGCAGCAAGCATTAGAAGGATAAACCCTAACTCCTTGAAGACTTTGAGGCTGGCAGGAAAAAGTCCAGTTCAAGACAGAGTGAACCAATACAACCATTTCAATGAATACAAGCATTCGTCTGAGATAATGTCAGAAAATGTTTACTCCTGTAGGTCAACCTAACTACCATACCTTTCTCTGCATAATAATAATGTGTGCACAATGGATAAATGCAAACTTACCTGCAGTCAGCTTAATTACATATTCTTTTTTGGTTGCAGGAACAATGCATCTGTATGCTCCTGAATCAGAGAGTTTCACCTCGGTGAGTTTCAGTGAAATGTCTCCACACCTCAGTTTTTCTTCAGACAGTGATGTTCTCCCCTTGTACATCGGATGTTTGTCCTGTTGAAGCTCTGTGCCGTCTCGCCATAAGAAGACATACTTGGGCTTCAGGTCAGGTCTTGCCCACTCCACTGCCATTTCACGAGCATCCACAGCAGGCTCAAGTTGACAAGGCAAAATTACATCATCACCAACTATTGCCACTATTGGCTGAGACGAACCAATCACCTGAGAATGACCTAAAGCAAAATAAATTCAGACCATGTTATTTTTGGATTGGACTTTTACTTTTAATCCAGGATCATATAAATAAAGCACATTCTCTGCCCTTTAGTCTTGAAATAGTCATATGTCAATGAGAAGTGGGAACTAGAGATGAACACCATTATTTTGGATGAGATATGGATCCTATCATGTAAAAAAGGGGACACATGACAACAAATAGGCCAACATGGAAGGAGTTTAAATGGAAAGATAATTGAGATTTTTTTATCACTTCCAAATTTGGCAACACCTCCAATCAATACCGAGCACAAAAAAAGTATTTAGAATTTGGCTTACTAATGCAAGCTATATGAGTTACTTTCAGCAAACATTCAGCTAAATTGATAAAAAAAAAAAAAAAATTCTTTTTGGAAAAATGTATTATTTACAGTTGCATAAATATAAAAGTATAATTACTCTCATCAAGACCTTTCAACATGTATTTGTATTTTACCTCCACAAGAATATGTCAAAATAAAGAGGAGCAGAGAGTGTTGCATGACGACCAACGCCCTGAAGTCACCGAGGTGTCCGTACTTCGTGTTAATCATTCTGTAATGCTGAAAATTCAAAGAAAAAAACTCTGTTATAAACTGCACCAAAAAAGTCTAAAAGATATCTGAAAACTTGAAATGAAAGTCGTGCTCTGAAGAAAGAGAAATGGCTAAAACACATGCACACTATGATCCACTTGTTCACCATTACAAAGACTGACAGCGACCTCATTTTGTGCATTCAAAGCAAATGATCAGAGCAACTAAATCGACTGCTATGTTTAAAAGAAGGTTTCTGAGGAAGATAGCAGTTTGTACAGAAAGAACCAGCTATGAATTTAAAGATGATGTTAAACAATATATCAGAAATAATCCATACAAACACGTTTTTTCTTGTACAAATTTCACGTACCTGCTGTGTGTGTCCGAGTTTCTTCTCTTGAGGTGTTAAAGCGAGAGAAGGCTGCAGGGTCAAAGTCCAGAATGAATCAACCAAGCATACTCTAACCTACACCCATTTCATTTTTATTGCCTTTTATTGTTCTTTTAGAACAGGTTTCAGTGAACTTGTGAAATATTTTTCATTCAGCCTTGAAATATATGTGACACATTGGAATATGACAATATCCCAGAACACAATTTTACAAAAATCGAGAAATTGATTTTTTTTTTTTAAATAAAGTTTGGAATTAAAACACTGCAGACAAAATAAAACACAAAACAATAGTAAATGCATCAAGCCAATCAAACATTTTCATTAATTTAGTAGAAAGCTAACAGCTTCTTAAAACTTTTAAGTTATCTGTCTCTGTTTGTCTTTTGTGTGTGTTCAAGGTTACATGATAAACGATTCTTCTATACACACTTGAAAATGGATATAAATGTAAATGTAATGATTAACAGTTAAACATTCTTTCTGGTGTAAATTTACAGTTTTAAAGTCTTAAGCATCATTGCTGCTGTGCACGAGTTGTGTTTGAAACTGGTTACAAAAGCTCGTCTCTGATTGACGTCTGTCCCAAAGAAACGCAGGTTCATTTCATAGACTGAAAGAAAATAAAAGCCTGAGCTTTAATAGAAGTTTTACAGTAAGTAGATACAGGCAACATTATGAAAAACAATAACGTCAAAAAATACATTTCAATCAAAGAAGCATTTACATGAAGTAACGGAGTGTTGGCGTATGTCCACACTGTTTTACTCAAACAGGAGGATGTTAGCAGAGGAATGATTGTTCAGTTCAGAGATCTTTATTTTCCTCCTCTTCTCTCTGAATCTGTTTCTGAACCTCTTGACTCTTCCTCTCTGTTTCTTTGAGTTACTTTTCAATTTGTTCCTTATCATTCTCTAGTTTCCCTTTCCTCTCAGTCATTCTGTTAATCAAAGCATCTGTTGACTCCAGATGTTTCTCTGTGTTCTTTAACTGTTCATCATGTATTGTCTTTCTCTTCTCCAGATCCTCTTTAGTCTTTTCACGTTTCCCCTTTTTTTTTGTCTCTTAGTGAAACGTGTCTCCTGTTTCATCCGTCTCTTCTCTATCTGTACTATGTCTTCCTGCTGTATTGAGATGATTTGAGTTCTCTGTATCTTCAGATCCTTCTTCTGCTCCGTCAGTGCTGTAATCGCCTGTTGTAAATGTTCCAGTTCTTCCTCTTTCTTCTCTAACTTCTCATCTAGTTTAGCCTTTATATTATCTAAAAACTTCATCTTCTCATTTCCAGTCATGGTTTGATCTCCGTCTCCTTCTTTCTCCAACAGAAGCTGATGTTCAATGTCATGTCTGAACATTTTTCTTTCTCCCAGGTCAGTCTCACCCTCATGGTGCTTCTTGTTTTCTACATTAAAAGAAAAGGCATGTGTTTAGTTCAGACCTGTGTTACTATGTTGTCTTCCTTTTGGGAGAGGGGTTTCAGGGTCAGAAAGTAGGGTTCACAGAAATCTGTTGTAAGCCATTTATACTTCTAATTTACAGACATGGCAGATTGTGGATCGTTGTGTAAGCAAGATAAAATGATTCAACTCACCTGGACAAGACGTACAATTAACTTTTTCAATAAAGATGACACTTAAACTGAAAAAAACTGATCATTTAGAGCATATCATTATTTAAAAACTTACAGATTGAAGGCAGTGTCTCAATGGTTTAATCTTTAATCTTGCAAACATTTTATGATACAGACTGAGTTAAATATTACTTTCCTGACACTGTAAAACATTAACACTTGATCTCTTTTTTAAGATCTTCAGCTTTTATATCTGAAAATTTGATATTACAGTATATTTTTTTCATGGATTTATAGGTCTGTACATATAACCTGTGGTTTGTTCAAACTGCTTAAGCAAATAAAGGTTACAGTCAGCAAGCGTTGTGTGATCAAATGAGATCGCACTTTCATCTGTTCCTTAACAAAATGCGAATATTGATTTGAGTCAATTTCTTGCCAACAAGAAAAGAAGCCTCCACAATTGAAGAGAAGATCAAATGGACGTTCAACCTCCGTGTAAATGTGTTAACGTATAATAATCATTGACAGATCTATCTCTCTTTTGAAGGCTGCCACGATGACGTGATTCTTTGATTGCATTGTGAAATGATTTAACAGTTGCAACAAATCGAGGTTTAATGAGAACGAGCTCTTGTTATATTAGCTGTCAGACCTTAACAGTGCCACTTTCTTTCACAGTAAACTGATTTTAAGGTATTCTGATCTTTTCCCTTTCCAGCTACCAAAGTCATTTTACTTTAGGGACTCAGTGAATTTAAAATAATAAATGACTTTATTGAACTATAAAAAAACTGAAAATAAACTATCTTCTGTGCAGTATTTGGAGTTCCAGTGCAGAAATGTAATGTATTACACACTGAAACAACACTGTGATTTCTGCAGATACTCTGTTCATATTTTTCTTTGCAACCCAACAATAAAAATCAGTCCCATCATATTTTCCTCATTTAATCATTTTAACATTTCAGAGAAAAAGATTTTGACAAAAATACATGCATCATTTTCTTAGTAAAAAAACAATCTATACATCCATCGTATATGGATGTATAGATTGATGGGGAGGAGGGGGGTCAAAAGTAGAATAATCCCAAATAATTGATACCTGTCATGGTTAAACTAGATGTGGCAAGTCCTTCAACTTCAATCCTGATCCTCACTAGTCTGACGGTATGTGTATTACAAAGAGTAATCTTTATTAGCTCCCTATAGGTGTTTTCAGACGGCAGGAATTTTAAATTGTTTTAAAAACTGTTGGAACCCTCCTCCTTTTTTATTGATTCCACCTCACAGGAACGAGGACCTATTTTAGTTCCTAGAACCCCATTTAGAGGAACCTTTTTAGCCCCTGCTTCAGAGTAGGTACCATGACGGTGCCAATTCAGACAAAAAAAAAGTCCTCATGGTTTTATGTTGTCAGGAAACTCCTCTTCAAAAAGTCCACAGAACTGTTTGGTCTGAAAACACCTTATGTTTTCCTCTTGGTGTATTACACCAAATAATTGCATGCATTTACTGAATTATTTTATCATTTGTGTATTCCAGCAATAGTTCTTGTGTCTACATTTAAAATCCTAATATGAAAAGAGAAGATATCTCAGAGAGAAGTCGTGACTGAAATGTATTTATTTATTTTTCATTACATGCAAACATTTTCTTCAAATGTAAGAAAATCAGTTTTTATAAATATAAATGAACCCTCTTATAAAACCAAGCCAGCTTGAAAACTCCAGAAAATGTGATTTATTTAACTCTGAATCAAACAAAGAGACAAGGACATTTGAATTAATCAGTAAAACATTTTTTAAAAAACATGTATTAAAAGTCAAACCATGAATCCATGTAGGAAATTTAAAAAAACACTGATATCACACAAGACAAATCATAAAGATGAATCACAACCTTTAGTAATGACCAAAATGAACTGTGGTCACATCTGGTCAAGAATGATTCATGTTTGATTTCTTCAGCTAATAACACTGCAGATGAAGAAAATATACCTTGAAACTACTGAATGTTAGTGTTGGAAGATTTTAAGATTCAAGATTTACATTCTTATTTATTGAAATTTCAGTTTTTACACTCTGTAGTCATGCAACACACACATAGGCTGAAGTATATACACACCTGCACACAAACAGGATCCTATGGACATGCACTAATGGAGAGATGTCAGAGTGACGGAGCTGCCCACAGCGGGCGCTCCTGAGCTGGTGGTGGGGTGGGGGTTTGGTGCCATGCTCAAGGGCACCTCAGCAGTGCTCAGGAGGTGATCTGGCACCTCTCCAGCTACCAGACCAACTTCCATACTTGGTTCCAAACCCATGTCCCTACAGACTGAGCTACTGCCACCCCCAGATAGATTATTTATTACGTCCCCTCCCTCTGGCGACTGTGTTTCACGTTCTTTTGTCATCTTTTACTCCTCTACTCTCTTTCTCTGAATCTGTTTCTGAACCTCTTCTCTCTTCCTCTCTGTTTTTTTGAGGTACTTTTCAATTTGTTCCTTATCATTCTCTAGTTTCCCTTTCTTCTCAGTCATTGTGTTAAACAAATCATCTGTTGACTCCAGTTGTGTCTCTGTGTTCTTTAACATGTCATCATGTATTGTCTTTCTCTTCTCTAGATCCTCTTTGGTCTTTTCACGTTTCTTCTTCTTTTTTTCTCCATTTAAAGTAGCCTTCTCTTCCAGCTTCTTCAGGTTCTTCTCTATCTGTACCATGTCTTCCTGCTGTAGTGAGATGATTTTCTCTCTCTGTATCTTCAGATCCTTCTTCTGCTCCATCAGTGTTTTAATCGCCTGTTGTACATGTTTCAGTTCTTTCTCTTTCTTCTCTAACTTCTCATCTTGTTTAGCCTTTACATTATCTAATAACTTCATCTTCTCATTTCCAGTCATGAGTTGATCTCCGTCTCCTTCTTTCTCCAACAGAAGCTGATGTTCAATGTCATGTCTGAACATTTTTCTTTCTCCCAGGTCAGTCTCACCCTCATGGTGCTTCTTGTTTTCTACATTAAAAGAAAAGGCATGTGTTTAGTTCAGACCTGTGTTGCTATGTTGTGTTCCATTTGGGAGAGGGGTTTCAGGGTCAGAAAGTAGGGTTCACAGAAATCTGATATTGACATATTGTTGGTAAGTGGCCACGGTACAGGTAAGGTGATATACCTGCACTGGATGTTGTAAAGGCTGAGATCACATTGGATGACTTGTTTTGAGTCTAAGAAATTAACCCTCAACAGAACTGATGTAAAATAACTTTTTGAAAGAAGTTCAATAAAGATGACACTTACTCTTGTTTTGTCTACATTTCCTCACAACAAGAACAACTGCAACGATCGACACTAAGCACACAATGACACAGATGGTTATGCGGATAATAGAACTAGACTGGACCATGAAGAGCTCATCTGAAATGATAAAACACGAGCCAAATAACTTCACAGAGCTTAACATGAACTGTCTGTAACTGAAGAATTAACAACATCAATGACTGATTAATAATTTATCTACCTGAAACATGTATGAGTGTCTCTCTGGTCTGGTTGATGTTGTTCTGTGTGACTCTACAGGTGAACATGTTGTTGTGTCTCCTCTCCACAGTCACTCTGCTGCTGACAGTATAGAGATCATTGGGACCTCTGATGATCTCTGTAGATCCAGCAGAGAGGAGTTTTCCCTCACCGTCCAGCCACAACACCTCAGGCTCTGGATACCAGCCTTCAGATTTACATTGAAGATCCACTCCACTGCTGGCTTTGGAAATGCTGACGGTCGGTAAAGATACAGAACCTAATCAAGAAGAAAAACATCCAAAAAGTAGTCAGGTTAAACATTTCAAACAAGAAAGAAAATCCCAGCTTGTGGCCAACTAAAGTACGACATCTTGTCAGTCCCCAAGTAAGCCCTTTGTGTTTTTCTTGTTGGCACAAATTCCAAAATCTTTATCGTCAGGCTGAGGTTGTCATTCTGTTCTAAGGATTCAAGTTGTCTCATTTAGATCTCACATAATGGATGCTGCAGGGAGCTGGGTAGAGTGTATGATAAGAGGATGTTTCCAGCAATGCAAACACAATAGAAGAAAACAATATTCTGCAACTGCAGCAAGCATTAGAAGGATAAACCCTAACTCCTTAAAGACTTTGAGGCTGGCAGGAAAAAGTCCAGTTCAAGACAGAGTGAACCAATACAACCATTTCAATGAATACAAGCATTCGTCCGAGATAATGTCAGAAAATGTTTACTCCTGTAGGTCAACCTAACTACCATACCTTTCTCTGCATAATAATAATGTGTGCACAATGGATAAATTTAAACTTACCTGCAGTCAGCTTAATTACATATTCTGTTTTGGTTGCAAGAACAAGGCATCTGTATGCTCCTGAATCAGAGAGTTTCACCTCGGTGAATTTCAGTGAAATGTCTCCACACCTCAGTTTATCTTCAGACAGTGATGTTCTCCCCTTGTACATCGGATGTTTGTCCCGTTGAAGCTCTGTGCCGCCTCGCCTCAAGAAGACATACTTGGGCTTCAGGTCAGGTCTTGCCCACTCCACTGTCATTTCACGAGCATCCACAGCAGGCTCAAGTTGACAAGGCAAAATTACATCATCACCAACTATTGCCACTATTGGCTGAGACGAACCAATCACCTGAGAATGACCTAAAGCAAAATAAATTCAGACCATGTTATTTTTGGATTGGACTTTTACTTTTAATCCAGGATCATATAAATAAAGCACATTCTCTACTCTTTTAGTCTTGAAATAGTCATATGTCAATGAGAAGTGGGAACTAGAGATGAACAGCATTATTTTGGATGAGAAATGGATCCTATCATGTAAAAAAGGGGACACATGACAACAAATAGGCCAACATGGAAGGAGTTCGAATGGAAAGTTAAGAAGAGATTTTTTTATCACTTCCAAATTTGGTAACACCTCCAATCAATACCTTAAAGTATTTAAAATGTGGCTTACTAATGCAAGCTATACGAGTTACTTTCAGCAAACATTCAGCTAAATTGATAAGAAAAAAAACAAAACATTTTTGGAAAAATGTATTATTTACAGTTGCATAAATATAAAAGTATAATTACTCTCATCAAGACCTTTCAACATGTATTTGTATTTTACCTCCACAAGAACATGTCAAAATAAAGAGGAGCAGAGAGTGTTGCATGACGACCAACGCCCTGAAGTCACCGAGGTGTTCGTACTTCGTTTTAATCATTCTGTAATGCTGAAAATTCAAAGAAAAAAACTCTGTTATAAACTGCACCAAAAAAGTCTGAAATATATCTGAAAACTTGAAATGAAAGTCATGCTCTGAAGAAAGAGAAATGGCTAAAACACATGCACACTATGATCCACCTGTTTACTATTACAAAGACTGACAGCCACCTCATTTTGTGCATTCGAAGCAAATGATCAGAGCTACTAAATCGACTGCTATGTTTAAAAGAAGGTTTCTGAGGAAGATAGCAGTTTGTACAAAAAGAACCAGCTATGAATTTAAAAATTATGTTAAACAATATGTCTTAAATAATCCATACAAACACGTTTTTTCTTGTACAAATTGGACGTACCTGCTGTGTGTGTCCGAGTTTCTTCTCTTGAGGTGTTAAAACGAGAGAAGGCTGCAGGGTCAAAGTCCAGAATGAATCAACCAAGCATACTCTAACCTACACCCATTTCATTTTTATTGCCTTTTATTGTTCTTTTAGAACAGGTTTCAGTGAACTTGTGAAATATTTGAAATATATATGACACATTGGATTATGACAATATCCCAGAACACAATTTTACGGAAATTGAGAAATTGATTTTTTTTTTAAATAAAGTTTGAAATTAAAACACTGCAGACAAAATAAAACACAAAACAAAAGTAAATGCATCAAGCCAATCAAACATTTTCATTAATTTAGTAGAAAGCTAACAGCTTCTTAAAACTTTTAAGTTAAATGTCTCTGTTTGTCTTTTGTGTGTGTTCAAGGTTATATGATAAACGATTCTTCTATAAACACTTGAAAATGGATATAAATGTAAATGTAATGATTAACAGTTAAACATTCTTTCTGGTGTAAATTTTACAGTTTTACAGTCTTCAGCATCATTGCTGCTGTGCACGTTGTGTTTAAAACTGGTTACAAAAGCTCGTCTCTGATTGACGTCTGTCCCAAAGAAACACAGGATCATTTCATAGACTGAAAGGAAATAAAAGCCTGAGCTTTAATAGAAGTTTTACAGTAAGTAGATACAGGCAACATTATGAAAAACAATAACGTCAAAAAATAAATTTCAATCAAGGAAGCATTTACATGAAGTAACGGAGTGTTGTCGTATGTCCACACTGTTTTACTCAAACAGGAGGATGTTAGCAGAGGAATGATTGTTCAGTTCAGAGATCTTTATTTTCCTCCTCTTCTCTCTGAATCTGTTTCTGAACCTCTTCTCTCTTCCTCTCTGTTTCTTTGAGGTACTTTTCAATTTGTTCCTTATCATTCTCTAGTTTCCCTTTCCTCAAAGTCATTTTGTTAAACAAAACATCTGTTGACTCTAGTTGTTTCTCTGTGTTCTTTAACAGTTCATCATGTACTGTCTTTCTCTTCTCCAGATCCTCTTCGATCTTTTCACGTTTCTTCTTCTTTTTTAGTGGCATTAGTGGTCTTTATCAGTACCATGTCTTCCTGCTGTAGTGAGATGAGTTTCTCTCTCTGTATTTTCAGATCCTTCTTCTGCTCCGTCAGTGTTGTAATCACCTGTTGTAGAAGTCCCAGTTCTTTCTCTTTCTTCTCTAACTTCTCATCTTGTTTAGCCTTTATATTAGCTAATAACTTCATCTTCTCATTACCAGTCATGGGTTGATCTCCGTCTCCTTCTTTCTCCAACAGAAGCTGACGTACAATTAACTTTTTCAATAAAGATGACACTTAAACTGAAAAAAACTGATCATTTAGAGCATATAAATATTTAAAAACTTACAGATTGAAGGCACTGTCTCAATGGTTTAATCTTTAATCTTGCAAACATTTTATGATACTGCCTGAGTTAAATATGACTTTCCTGACACTGTAAAACATAAACACTTGATCTCTTTTTTAAGATCTTTAGCTTTTATATCTGAAAATTTGATATTACAGTTGTTGGACCACGCAGGCTTAGGACAGTCAAACAATGGACTTGGGCCTGCACCTCTGTAAAAGCCTCATTTGAGTTATTCACTGAGATCACAAAGAGGCCTAAAAGGACTCTTAATCCCAGAATCCCCTGCGGTACTTCACACCTACACGTGAAGTAAGGGGGGGGGACCGGAACCTCTCTCTCCTCATTGGAGGGGACCTGAGGTAGACCCCCCATGGAGCAGGTCAGGCTACAAAAACTCCAAGACTTCCATTGTTCTTTCTCTTTCCACGCGCTGACTTCTGGTGCTCGGAGACCCAAGCTCACCTCCTGTTTCTGCAACAATCTTCCTTTGTTTTAAGTTTTGGCGTGCAGGTAATCCGCGGCCGGCAGTGTTCTAAATTCCGAGCTCGGATTGTCCAGTGAACGCATCTCAGTTTCTCGGAGAGCGTCAGACTATAACAGATTATCAGAAAGATAACGGTCTTATTCCGTCCTGCAACGAAAGGACATCAAAGGACATCTTTCCACTCGATGGAGAACCAACGAAGCCGCTCTCGCCGTAGGTTACCCTCGCCGCCATCAGACGCCTCTGCGCCAGGACGGACAGAAGATCTGCTCCATCGCTGGACTCTTTTACTTTCACCAATCGCGGACAAAGCGATTCACAAATGAGGCTTAATTAGGTCTGGGCAGAATTAGCTTTAGAGAGTGTTTTTAACAATTGTTGATCGAAGCAGAAACTGTAATTTTTATCTTTGTTGGACCTGCGTCCTGAGTTTTAACTGTTTAAAACTCTTGTTGTTTCGGACCGCTGCGTCCTATATGTGTTTAGTGTAACAGCGTTATAACCGGGTATTACTCTTCTGATCAGAAAGGCCAGTGTAAGCTGTATTAGCCTGAATTCGGCTATTGGTTTGTTTCTGTGAATGAAGGGAATTACTCCGAGTTGTGGCGCGGGAGTTGGACTGTGATCCGGCCTCTTCAGGCACGCATTTCTCTTTTATTCTTTTTTATCCTCTTTTATTTCCCCTTCTACAAACACACACACATATTCCCGTACAAACGTACATCTGGAGACCAACTCCACCACCGCGCCATTACGCACAGAGATCTATACACTCGCGGCTATCCAGACGCCTAAGAGACACAGATCGTGTAGGGCCGAACTCAGTCTCTTTTAGACCTTAAGGCCACATTTAGGCCTTTGTTAGGTGTGTGCCATCGGAAGGGCGACCACGTGGGACGAAGTAATCTTCCCCCCCTTCTCTCTCTCTTTCATCCACATACGCACGCACCCAGGTCGTTGTTAGGTTTGCGCCATCGTGAACGACCACGTGGATACGAAGCCATCTCTCCCCCTTTTCTTCTTCCCCCCTCTCTCTCTCTCTCTCTCTCTCTCACACACACACACACACACACACACACACACACACACACACACACACACACACACACACACACACACACACACACACACACACACACACACCTACATTCACACCCCTTCCACAAGCCTTTGCTTGATAATGTTTGTTGCTTAGATTAGTTTATAATAGTTATTTGTTTAATTAAGTTCATTGATTTTGGATTGATGTTGCTTTGTTTAAATAAATTCTGTTATAATTTAAGAGAGCAGTTGTATGTGATTACTGGTGTATTTGCATTGTGATATAAGCTGGGTGCGAAGGCTTTGTGTACGGATTTCACGCCTTCAATTTATTAAATATAGTTATTCATTATTAATTATATTAGTAATTAAATAACTAATTTGAGACTGATTTGAGTGATATTTTGGTTATATTTACCTGATTACAGGTTGGTGCCCCAAAACGAGATTAAACATAGTTTAATGATATTTTATTTATATTATTAATAATTAAGTATAATTATTAAAGAATATAACCAAAGTTGACTTGATACAACCCCAACACAGTATATTTTTTTCATGGATTTATATGTCTGTACATTGTTATATTAGCCGTCAGAGCTTAACAGTGCCACTTTCTTTCACAGTAAACTGATTTTAAGGTATTCAGTATAAAAATACTGAAAATAAACTATCTTCTGTGCAGTATTTGGAGTTCCAGCGCAGAAATGTAATGTACAACACACTGAAACAACACTGTGATTTCTGCAGATACTCCATTCATATTTTTCTTTGCAACCCAACAATAAAAATCAGTCCTATCATATTTTCCTCATCTAATCATTTTAACATTTCAGAGAAAAAGATTTTCACAAAAATACATGCATCATTTTCTTTACAATCTATACATCCATCGTATATGGATGTATAGATTGATGGGGAGGAGGGGGGTCAAAAGTAGAATAATCCCAAATAATTTATATCTGTAATGGTTAAACTAGACGTGGCAAGTCCTTCAACTTCAATCCTGATCCTCACTAGTCTGACAGTATGTGGATTACAAAGAGTAATCTTTTTTAGCTCCCTATAGGTGTTTTCAGACGGCAGGAATTTTAAATTGTTCTAAAAACTGTTGGAACCCTCCTCCTTTTTTATTGATTCCACCTCACAGGAACAAGGACCTATTTTAGTTCCTAGAACCCCGTTTAGAGGAACCTTTTTAGCCCCTGCTTCAGAGTAGGTACCATGACGGTGCAAATTCAGACAGAAAAAAAGTCTTCATGGTTTTATGTTGTCAGGAAACTCCTCTTCAAAAAGTCCACAGAACTGTTTGGTCTGAAAACACCTTATGTTTTCCTCTTGGTGTATGACACCAAATAATTGCATGCATTTACTGAATTATTTTATCATTTGTGTATTCCAGCAATAGTTCTTGTGTTTACATTTAAAATCCTAAAATGAAAAGAAAAGATATCTCAGAGAGAAGTCATGACTGAAATGTATTTATTCATTTTTCATTGCATGCAAACATTTTCTTCAAATGTAAGAAAATCAGTTTTTACAAATATAAATGAACCCTCTTATAAAACCAAGTCAGCTTGAAAACTCCAGAAAATGTGATTTATTTAACTCTGAATCAAACAAAAAGACAAGGACATTTGAATTAATCAGTAAAACATTTTTTTTAAAACATGTATTAAAAGTCAAACCATGAATCTATATAGGAAATTAAAAAAAACACTGATATCACACAAGATAAATCATAAAGATGAATCACAACCTTGACCAAAATTAACTGTGGTCACATCTGGTCGAGAATGATTCATGTTTGATTACATGATTCCTTTGTAATCTTTTCCTCCTCTTCTCTCTTTCTCTGAAGCTCTTCTCTCTGTTTCTGAAGCTCTTCTCTCTGTTTCTGAAGCTCTTCTCTCTGAAGCTCTGCTCTGTTTCTGAAGCTCTTCTCTCTGTCTCTGAAGCTCTTCTCTCTGAAGCTCTGCTCTGTTTCTGAAGCTCTTCTCTCTGTCTCTGAAGCTCTTCTCTCTGTCTCTGAAGCTCTGCTCTCTGAAGCTCTTCTCTCTGTCTCTGAAGCTCTTCTCTCTGTCTCTGAAGCTCTGCTCTGTCTTTGAAGCTCTTCTCTCTGTCTCTGAAGCTCTGCTCTGTCTCTGAAGCTCTTCTCTCTGTCTCTGAAGCTCTGCTCTCTGTCTCTGAAGCTCTGCTCTGTCTCTGAAGCTCTTCTCTCTGTCTCTGAAGCTCTGCTCTGTCTCTGAAGCGCTTCTCTCTGTCTCTGAAGCTTTCCTCTGTCTCTGAAGCTCTTCTCTCTGTCTCTGAAGCTCTTCTCTCTGTCTCTGAAGCTCTGCTCTGTCTCTGAAGCGCTTCTCTCTGTCTCTGAAGCTCTTCTCTCTGAAGCTCTGCTCTGTTTCTAAAGCTCTTCTCTCTGAAGCTCTGCTCTGTTTCTAAAGCTCTTCTCTCTGAAGCTCTGCTCTGTCTCTGAAGCTCTTCTCTCTGTCTCTGAAGCTCTGCTCTGTCTCTGAAGCTCTTCTCTCTGTCTCTGAAGCTCTGCTCTCTGTCTCTGAAGCTCTTCTCTCTGTCTCTGAAGCTCTTCTCTCTGTCTCTGAAGCTCTGCTCTGTCTCTGAAGCTCTGCTCTGTCTCTGAAGCTCTTCTCTCTGTCTCTGAAGCTCTGCTCTGTCTCTGAAGCGCTTCTCTCTGTCTCTGAAGCTCTGCTCTCTGTCTCTGAAGCTCTTCTCTCTGTCTCTGAAGCTCTTCTCTCTGTCTCTGAAGCGCTTCTCTCTGTCTCTGAAGCTCTGCTCTCTGTCTCTGAAGCTCTTCTCTCTGTCTCTGAAGCTCTTCTCTCTGTCTCTGAAGCTCTTCTCTCTGTCTCTGAAGCTCTTCTCTCTGAAGCTCTGCTCTGTTTCTGAAGCTCTGCTCTCTGTCTCTGAAGCTCTGCTCTGTCTCTGAAGCTCTTCTCTCTGTCTCTGAAGCTCTTCTCTCTGTCTCTGAAGCTCTGCTCTCTGTCTCTGAAGCTCTTCTCTCTGAAGCTCTGCTCTGTCTCTGAAGCTCTTCTCTCTGTCTCTGAAGCTCTGCTCTCTGTCTCTGAAGCTCTGCTCTCTGTCTCTGAAGCTCTTCTCTCTGAAGCTCTGCTCTGTTTCTGAAGCGCTTCTCTCTGAAGCTCTGCTCTGTCTCTGAAGCTCTTCTCTCTGTTTCTGAAGCTCTTCTCTCTGTTTCTGAAGCTCTGCTCTGTCTCTTAAGTTCTTCTCTCTGTTTCTGAAGCTCTGCTCTGTCTCTGAAGCGCTTCTCTCTGTTTCTGAAGCTCTGCTCTGTCTCTGAAGCTCTTCTCTCTGTTTCTGAAGCTCTGCTCTCTGTCTCTGAAGCTCTTCTCTCTTCT